GCTTGACCTGAGAGACAGTCTCAAAGAACTTACAATGATCAGCAATACAATTCAAGAACCTAAAATGCCTACCATTTCCGGCATGAGCAGGGAAAATATCAATAAGCACACAATAGTGATTAGAAACAGAAGGGGGTGGTACACAGCTTGAACATGGCCATATACATCAAGCCAAACTTGATTAACCAAAGCTCTATCTATCCTGGTAAAAGTTCTAAGACCAAATTAAGCTTTATTAGACCAGGAGAATAAAGCACCTTTACTCTTCATTTCAGATAACTCCATATCATCAATAAAACCCTTAAAATCCTTAGTCTCGTAATCAAATACAAGATTTCCATTAAATTTATCCCGAGAACTAAGAATTATATTAAAACTCCCAATACAAAGCCAAGATATATTCTGCAAAGAAAGATTCCTGTCCCCCTCCCATTGAGCCAATGGAGTGAAGCCCATAAGTGACTATCACACTGAATTTGGGAAGAAAGATCCTTATTACTAATAGTATAGTGAATAAAATGCTCATGCACATTAAGAACAACAAGAGTGACTTTATCAGCATTCCACCCAACCCTAATCTTGCCCTTAGGAGAACAATTATAATTGGACACCGAAGACTAAGCAGGGTTAAATTTTCTCTGAAAAATAGCACTCTTATGAGCCTTAACCCTAGTTTTCAAAATATTAAGAACATCAACTAAATGAGATGAGAATGAAGTAGCTTTTTCACATCAGCTACTTTGCCAGGGGCCTAACATTCCAGATTAGGATCATTATAGCACTAGAGGGGAGGTTACCCTCACCCCTAATAGTTTTAATAGTAAAACCACCAGCACCATCATATTAAAAAATTTTAAGACCCGTATACACATTAGAGTGGCCAGCAGCTAGTTGAGTATCTCTATGAGTCTGATTCTTAGTTTTCCTCCCCACTATTCTCCACCCTTCATCGGAGTTATTTTGAGTAGTAGTGGCAGCAGGTGTGACAATAATAGGTCTATGAATAGTTTTGTTGTGAACAACAGCAGTAGTTGGAGCCTGAGTAGGCTTAAGGGCCCAAAGCTGGTGCTGCTTGGTGGAAGCTGCTAGTTGCTTGGCTTGAGCCATCTTAGGGACAGACTTAATAGTAGCACAATCATGACCTACATTACTGCATTTGGAACAAAAAGGCGGAGTCCATTCATATACTACTTGTAGTATTAATAGTTCACCAAAAGGGCTTTCAACATAAAAGGATTTAGGCAGCATTTTAGTAGCATCTATTTTGATAAGAACTCTAGCAAATGAAACTCTAAGTTGCCTAGATGTACACTCATCAACATAAATAAGAACCCCGAGCAAGCTTCTAATTTCTACTTAGAGTCTCAGGACCCCAATAGTTTAAAGGCAAATTAGGAAATTTGACCTAGATTGGAACAGTTCTTAGGATTTCAGCATGAAAATTAAACTTGGCATTCCAAAAATTCAGAATAACAGGTTTTTCAGTAAACATACGAGGGCCAGAGCATATATATAATTGCATATGTATAATCAACGGAGTGCAAACTAACAATGAAATAACTATCATTATGCCATAAAAATATCAAGTTTCTGAATATTACTCAATTGTTAAGATATAATAGATGCACAACATCTATAATGGGGTAATAACCAACAGCATAGAAAACAATAGCATTACTCCATTTTTTATTACTTGTATAACTCAGAAGCTTGCAATTGAGCTATTTGATTCCTATCTTGCATTTTAGGAGGGGAAAACTAATGTGTATTAATAAAATTGATGTGTATAACTAGTTAATAAGATATGAAAAGTTAAATAAAACAAATACTATTAAAAAATTTAAGAAAAATACACTTTAATAATCACTTTAAAAAACCCAACTTTACTCAATTTACTTTAAATAATCCCAAGTTTTGAATATTCTATAATAATCCAAACTTTTACGTGAGTTTTCTTTCTTCAATTCGGATTACCGATTACCCGAAGAAAGGGTTAATTTTTTTTGAAACAAATTATATGACACATGTCACACTTTAATTGCTTCAATAATATAAAAATAAATTAATTTGAATTAAAAAACAGAAAAAAAAAAAAAAAAAAACAAAGACCACCAGCTACCCAACGCTAGTGGTCGCACTTCCTCAACCATCAACACCCACACCCAAACTACCCACTTTCAGACCTACCAAAAATCCTCCTTGCACCGAAAACCCTTCCGTCACTCTTTTTTATTGCGTTTTACGGCAATTAGAGGAGAGAGAAAGAGAGTGGGCAGCATTATTTAGGTGTTTTTGGGGGTGGGGTGATTTCGAGGGTTTACAGGTGGTTTCGGGGGTAAGGGGAGGCGATGGGGACTGCTTTAGGGACGTGGGCGTGGTTTCGAGTTTTATGGGTAACGGTTTCGACACAAGGGTTTGGCTATGGCTGGTTTAGAGGGTGGGGGAGGAGGCAGAGGGAGCTGATTTCGCTGGTTTAGGGCGGTTTCTGGGGAGGTTTTAGGGTTGGGACTATGGAGGCGGTACTTCGGGGTTGGCGGTGGGCTGCTGGTGGCTGGTTTTGATTTTTTTTTTTCTTTTTTTAAAAAAATATTTTTTCTTTATTTTTTTTTTATTTTTTGGACCACTTCGACTTGACACGTGTCAATTGACCTAGAATTTAGGTCATTGACTTTTGTTGATCGGTTTGGAATTAAAGAAAGAAAACGCGAGTGAAAGTTAGGATTAGTACAGAATAATCAAAAATTGGGATTATTTAAAGTAAATTGAGTAAAGTTGGGGATTATTAAAGTGAATTTTTCCAATAATTTATATATAAACAAATTACGTGATTCAGTAAAACTGATGTGTATTGATAAATTAATCAAAATTTGCATATTAAGTAATTCAAATGACATTGGAACAAACAACACAAATCATCTTCCATTACTTTGAATTTAGATTCACCCCCAACGCCGACCCCATTACTGCACTCCAATTTTGTAAAACCAATTTTTTTATTTAAAATTAGACGGGTTGGCCCCATTAAATTTAGATCCTCCCCCGCGACCCATCCTGCACTCCAAGGATTAATTTGGACATTGGAACAAACAACACAAATCATCGTAGAAATCAACAACAATATATTTAGGTACTTTACCGTCCACCCAAAATCTTCCACTATTTAAAACATTAGCATTATAAGAGAGAGTACTATTCATGAAGATGGAACGTTACGTTCATTAATCAAGCATAATTTAATTTTGTCAATGAGTTTTATGAAACATAACTTTGAGACAAGTCTCTCAAAGTGTACCTTCTGAATCTTGACATAGTTATGGACATATCTATTAGACGGACTTTCTTGATAAATTGAATTTTCCTTGTTTCTTACGGGCAAGAGCAAACAATTGTTTTTCTTAAATGTTGAGCCTATAAACAACTCAGATGTGAACGTTTCCCTTGTCTCACACTTAAAGACTAAAGGGAAAGTGTAGTGGTAATGGAATCCCACATTGAAAGAATTCAAGAGTTACCACCACTATATAATACTATAGGGGATTACTCCCCTCATTGCCATATGATTTTGAGTTGGAATCTCCTTGGTCTTGTAAAGTAGTAGACTTGTACTCTCCCGTGACATGTGCGGCCTGGACCCATATTTGACATTACACTTTTCAAGCAAAATACGTAGCCTTTTTTAGAATCTTAGAACGACAAATTTTACTCACACGATCATTAACATTTTTTGTGTTTTTTAGGACGAGCCATGGGTTAGGGTCAGGGTTAAGGTTAAGGAGAGAAAGATATTGTTGGTCGGAAAAAATTGCAAAACTAATTTAAAATGTGAAAATATAATTATAAATTGATAATCGAAACAAACACTAGTAATGAAGTAGAGTTAACAAACCCTAGAAATTGGGGGAAATCGTGAGAAACATAATAGAGCAGGAGAGAGAAAGTAACAAGGATCGAAGGAAAAATAAGTTTGAACATACTACGTTGGTTTGAACATGTAAAACAAAGATCGAAATAAGGGTAAGGAAAGGAAAAGGTGGGATCATAATAGTCTTTGAAGTGGTTGAGGAAACCTAAGATGACTTGGATGGAAGAAATTAATAGTGTTTTTCTAAGCTATGCCCCCCAGTTCTTCGATTTCTAAGTTGTACCCATGCGTTTTCAAAGTTATAAGATGTGCCCTCCACCTAACGATATTTTATCAACAATACCCTTTGACAGCCATATCCGTTAACGAAAATTAAGTTATTTTATCAACAATGGTGTCCTGGCATTATTAATTTGACACGTGTCTTGTTCTAATTGGTTTAACACTTTAAAAAAATTTAAAAAATCAGAAAATAAAATAATAAAAAAAGGTTATTGTTAACGTCAAAGGTTATTTTTAATAAAAATTAGTGAGGTTGAGGGCACAACTTAGACGTTTGAAAAGGTATAGGCACAGCTTAGAAACCGAAAAAGTTTGGGGGCATAACTTAGAAAAACCCAAATAAATAATGGTATGAAGAAATTAGATTAAATACATTGAGAAAGGGAATGGAGGAAATAGATCATGGATGATGATCAGTAGGATGAAAACTCGGCTCATGTAGCTGACTCATTTGTTTAGAAGTAAGTCTTCAAAATTGTCGCGTATTTGGCAACCTACGAAAGTTACATAAAGTTACTTATGCAAATTGTGCAATGTGAACCTATCGTAAATTACCCTATTGTCGTGTATCAGGGATCCTTAGCTACAATTTTTCTTTATTTCACAAAATCATTCGTATGTTTGTTTGTGGTTCTTATGCATATCCTTGTTTAGATATGTGTATGTGCTAACACTTAGGGTGGTTCCTTCTAGTAGTACGAGTATTTTGCTTGAATCAAACTTGTGCTTCTACTTGGCTTTTTTGTTTATATCTTTCTTTAGAAAATGTCTTTAATTGTTGAAATGTTCTTTTCTTGTCTTTATTTTTTGGTAACTTCAAATAACACTCTGTGATATGAATGTTCAACGATGATAGGCATTTAAATAACAACAGTTTGTCAGGCAAAATACCCCGGTCATTGACTACCATTTCAAGCCTAAATACCCTGTGAGTGCTGAATCTCTCTTTCATTACTATAAAACAATACACTAAGTCACAAAATTTTAGTAGGATTATTTATAAGAGGTATATAACTTTCTTATAGTGATTTGTCATTCAACCAGCTAACTGGAGATGTTCCTCTCAATGGTTCTTTCTCGAAGTTCACCAATCCAAGAAGGTCATCAATTTTCTCCATTCTTTCCTGATGATTATAATGTAGTCTTATGAATTTTGACTTAAATTTATCCTTGAATATTAAGGTGATTTAAAATCGTCCTTTTTGGTAAATATATATGCTTCTTATTTTCAGTTTTATTGGCAATCGTAATTTAAGGATGCCTACAATAAGTCCAGATCTACCAGTTCAAACAGGTTCGCTTATAATATATGATAATGGTTGTACATAATATATACTATGTTGTATTGTTTTGTCCACATGTTCCTACAATATTTTCTTATTCTTACCATATTATCAGTTTGTTCAAATATAGAATTATGATTAAATGATTAGCTAGTCAAAAGATAGCATTGTGCTTTGACTACTTATTTCTATCATCCATTTTGTTCTTGTCATGTTAAAAATATTACTGGTGTGGAGGTATTTGTTTCCACGTCATATACATTTTTTGTGATAAAATTTTGTTTATAATATTTATGAAGATTGATTAATAAAGTATTTTTTTCCTTGTGAACTTTAAAGAATATTGGCTCTTCATATGTATGATATGAATAGTTTTTGACTTTTAGTTCATCTTGCATTACATATTGAGACTTTGAGGGAAAAATAAAATGATTATTTGAGTTAAAGTTAACCTTTTTCCCTCCTTGCCGAGAAATTTTGTTGAAACTAATGCTAGATTGCATCATAAGGATTCTTAACAAATATTTTTTTTTCAGGAAGAAATAACTCTATTGGAGCGATTGCTGGAGGAATTGCAGCGGGTGTCACTCTGCTCCTTGCAGCTTCTATAGTCCTTTCTTTGTGGAAACTTAAGAAACACCGAGATCAATTCATTGACGTCCCTGGTTAGTGAAAATATCACTTATAGCTCGTTAAGATCATATTAGTACTCATGTTATTACATTTGATGTAGTTTCATTCATGGTTGTTTTCTTAATCATAGATAATGGATTTCCAGAACTTCACCATGGACAGTTAAAAAGTTTCTCCTTCCAAGAACTAAAAATTGCAGCGGATAATTTTAGTAATAGCAACTTCATTGGTAAAGGTGGATTTGCAAACGTATATAAGGGGCGCTTGTCTAATGGCACTCTTGTGGCAATTAAAAGACTTAAAAAAGAATGTACCCAAGTTGGAGAAATCCAGTTTCAAACTGAGATCGAAATGATTAGCATGGCTATTCATCACAATTTGCTTCGCCTGTATGGTTATTGCACAACCCCCATAGAGAGATTGCTTGTTTATCCTCTAATGACTAATGGAAGCGTAGCATCTTGTTTGAGAGGTAAACACCATCCATCTTTATAATTAATTAATAGTCACATAAATTTAATTTGGGATGTTCAAAAATTATTTATAGACTTGCACTGCGTGAACAATTTTGTAGTTGTTGCATAAGGTTTTCATTTACCCGGTTAAAGTGTCAATTATAATTTAACCAAATTGATTAAATGAAAAAAATAAAATTGTGCCTGAAAAGTGTATGTTCTTTATAAAAGTCAGCTTATACCTTGTAAATATAATTTTATCATATTGATTTGTTTTTTTACAGAACGTCCTGCAACACAACCACCGCTCAGTTGGGAAATTAGAAAGAGAATCGCAATAGGAGTGGCAAGAGGACTTGCATATTTGCACGAGCATTGTGATCCAAAAATCATCCATCGCGATGTAAAGACTGACAATATATTTTTAGATGATGAGTACGAAGCAGTTGTTGGGGACTTTGGGTTGGCGAAGCTTATTGACTACAAACATACTCACGTCATTACAAAAGTATGTGGCACAATTGGGCATATTGCGCCCGAGTATTTTTCCACTGGAAAATCTTCAGAAAAAACTGATGTTTTTGGGTATGGGGCCATGCTTTTGGAGATCATCACTAGACAGAGAGCATCACATCTTATCCCTCTAGTTGATAAACAAGATATTACATGGATAGATTGGGTATGTATACGATTCATCTTAAATAATATTAATGTCATATCCTCCACACTTTACATTCCAGTTGTGGGGGCCATACTACCTGCGTTAATTTTTAGTTGTAGTAAAGGGTATTATTTGTGAGACAGACAAATTTTCTTTGTTGCAACTAAATATTAACGAAGGTATTATCTTATTTTAACACTTGAGTGCATAAAATACTCATGTCTAATATTACTTTAGACATCCTAGTAACTAATATGGGAATGATGTTGCATGTATTTAGGTATACGGAGTATTGCAGGAGAAAAAACTGGAAACATTAGTTGATGGTGAATTGCTGGGCAATTACGTTGAGAATGAAGCCGAGCAGTTGATCAAGATCGCTTTACTTTGTAGGCAAACTTCTCCCACAAGACGGCCAAAGATGTCTGAGGTGGTTAGAATGCTCGAAGATGATGATGGTTTAGCTGAGAGATGGGTGAGATGGGAGGAGGAGGAGTTGTTATGTAAGAAAGTCAAACACATTCACCACTCTAATATTGATTGGGTTCTAGACTCTACTTCCAACCTCTTTGCTGATGAATTGTCCGGTGCTAGATGATATGTTTGGTCGGCTATACACTTACTGTTATGTATTTAAGGCCCTCCAGTAATTATATAGTTTAATCTAGCAATGCGATAACTAATTATTGTTGGAAATTCTTGAGTGAAACACAAAGAAAGGAGAGGGAAAACAAATGTGATAAAGTCTCACATTGATATCTATCTTTCAATTATGTTTTTCTCTTCTTTGGCTTGATCTTGTTTTGGAAAGTTGTGATCAATTACAATAATTATTGACTGTTGGGTTGATTCCCTAATTGTTAGCTGTTTAATGGGGGTTTAATGGCAAAATGTTAATGCCTTTTATGGCTGCCATTTCTCCTTAAATCAAGCTGGTTGTTGCCTTCTTCAATGTTGCACATTACCTTTTTTTGGCCTCTATATATATATGTGCTTTTACAAGCTTAAACATATACTAAAATACAATTACTTCCTCTCTTCTCTTCATAAAATATTCCTTCGGTTTTGGGCAAGTATTCTGAGTTCCAGTCGGGTTTGTGAGTGCACACAAACTCCGGCGCCGTGCTTATCCTGGAGGGCGACCGCTTGATAACTACTGCACCGGGGTAGCGCGGAATCGTCTTTTAGGTCAGTGGTTATCCACGACGCGGCAATTGTCAATTTGGTCTACACAACATTGAGATAAGTATTTTTGTTTAATTTGCTTATATTCTAACAATCTAAAAGTTAAATGTCTATTTATTAACATGTGGAATTTAGAATGTTTTCTTATATTTGGAGCAAATTTTATGTTTTTTATGAATGTGTAACCTTATTGATTTAAGAAACGATTATTTGACCTATAGTTTTTTAATTTTGATATGTCAAAGTTAGATAGTGTTGTGATTCTTTTTAGTCATATCACTTTCTTTTATTATGTATGGAGTATATCATTCTTGTAGTTATCATGATTTACTATGTATTAAGCAATTATGGATTGTAAGCTTGTGATAGTATTGCTTATACTCATTAGTTATTTTCATGCTATATATGATTATTTATAAAAATGCAATTATATATGTTGATTATTATACATGTCTGCATGTAATAACTAATATAGATATATGCTACAAGCCTACTTTACTAAGCTTCTTTGGCTACTTGTGACTTTGTGAGTATATTAAATTACGTTATCTAGCTAGTACTTGATTGGGCAATTATTTCTTAACACTCTGGTTGATTGAATTCAAGGAATTATTTTGCTTAAGTTTTGACGATTGTAAGAATTAATTAAGGAATTAATTCTGCATATAGTGTATGTCTGATGAATCATGAATATTACTTTTGGTCATCCATTTTCTAAATTATAGCCTTGGTTATTTTGACTAAGTAATTGTTGTATGGGGAGTTATAATTTGGAGAGTTAGCTTGAATCATGGGAGTACATTAAAAACCTTTTAATTGGTGATTGATTTTATTTCTTGAATGGTTGAGTTATTGCTTTATGTTATGTATAAAATTGTACCTAGCTTTTTGCAATAATTTGAAATAAATCGTTTGGTACATATTACTAATATAGTAATATGGGTTACTTTATTTTTAATTGGCCAATGATATTATATTATTATGTTGTTGAATATATGCTTTTCTAGTTTTTGACAAAGAATGTTGAATTTGTCAAATAAATATTTGTTGAAATGAGTATGAAATTCCATATGTTTAGTTACCTCTAATTTCTTGGTTCTACATTTTGTGGATTGAAATTGGCCTTGGAGATAGCTTTATTGATTTAAATACCTATATGGTGGGGTAGTTTGAGCTATGTCTTTGTCATATGTTTTGAGGTGTATGTACGAACTTCTAGTACTACTTTGCCATTATTCATGTGTTAGATATGGAGTTTAATTAGAGTTATTGCATCAATTATTCATTTGTTGATATGCAAGTCATAATTTTTGTAACGTGATCTCATTACATAATTTTTGTATTTCATTAACATATGTAGAATTATATTTCTAATATGGTGAGTTTGTGAAGGCATATTATGTGATTTTTTTTTTCCTTAAGGAGAATATATGACTTTCTCTTTGGAGAATTTTGAGTAAAGTATTTTGGGAATTAAACTACGACTTTTCGATTTTTATGATGGTTTCTTGTTACTGTCTATGACTCTTTATTGTGTTATAATTCATTATGGATAAAGCATGAGTAAAATGTAAAGGCCCTAAATTTCATATGGTAGCATGGGAATTAATATTTTGAAGTACTGTTGAATTATTATCTTTGATTAATTCAATGTTTCAAAGGTTTATCTCTACTCTTGTCCACCTTATATGTTATTACACCCAAGTTCTATGACATAGTTATGGGTTTTTCTCAATCATGTATTTGACTATGCTTCATTTTGGGATTTGGAATTTTAGACCTTATGCATTCATGTGGAGGTTCAGGTTTTATAAACTTATGTGATTTCGTTATAAGAAATGTATGTTATTAAAGATCCCATATGAATTTTGGAGGGAGTTTGTATGTCCAAATATTTCGTTTATTGTGAATGTGGGTTTTAGGCGTATTGATAAGGGCTTTGAATCGAACTTTGTTGTCTAATGTGGGGGAAGTAATAAAAAAGAATTAGTGTTGGACTCAAAGTCTTGACTCAGTGTTTGCTTAGTAATTGCATTTAGTTCATGACTTTGTAGGCGAGTCTTGGAGTAGTAATTTTTATTATGAGCCTGATTGATCCTTTATATGAATCGGACATTTAGTTCATGTATGTGTGTTAGCACTATGTTTCTTGTGATTACATATGCACATTGGAATGCCATGTCTTTCTTTCTTCTTTTATTAATGACGATGGATTTTTAAATTTGGTAAGAATGAGAGGCACTTCTAATGTTAGAGTTTTCTATTGTATAATGCGAACCCTGAAAGTGATTAATTGTGCTAAAGACAATTTTTGATCGAGCTTGTCTTACAAGATTGTTTTGGTATCTCTATGTCTTTAGAGTATCAACTTTAAACTAGTGAAATTTCATGAGTGATTGTTTCCGTGGAAGAAGTCGTTGACTATGAGTTAGGTTATGTCTAACTATGTGTAGAATTCTACAATCTTTTCCTTGGGATTGTAAAGCTTGATATTTCTTCTATGGATTTTGTTGCTAATTCACTGAGTTTTGTTGGAAGTCTTTACGGCTAAACTTGTGATGGATGAGTCATTGCTACAATATAAAGATTTTGAATTTTTCTTGATCATATGTGAACTTTTGTGTCTATTTGGTAGTGCTATGTTTCTTGGGAACTATGCTTAGTCTGACATTGCTTATTATGTAAGTATATTAAGCAAGTATACTCTTAACTTGAGCAATGATCATTAGATCGTTTTGATGAGGAGGTTGCATAGGTACTTGAAAAGTACAAAAGATTAGGAGTTTGCACTATTGTAAGTGGTTATGTCTGCACCACTACGGGGTGGAGCTATGTTTTGGAAATTGTGCAAAGCAACCTTGTTTTTCTATGTTTGTTTTGGAATTATCTAAATTTATTTCTCTTGAATTGACAGGTTATGAGGCAAGATGATCAAGAGTATATGGCTCTTATGAGCAAAAATGTGCTTGCAAATATCCCATTGTAAAGGAATTCGTCGTGATTTGCAAGTTGTGGTTACTTTTGATTGAACCATGCCCATGATGGTTGATGCCAAAGATAATTTGTCGAATGGGGTGATATGTCTAGACTAAATAAAAGTCTAAAAGGAATGTTACAGATCCGTTAACTAATAAAGGCCTATGTATAAAACTAGTTTTGGTAACATCGGAGGGGATGGGACTAAAAGCCCATAGTATGAATTATAAGTAATCAACTCCTACTCATTATGAGTTCAAAGGGGAACATTATGAAATAATTCGGAAGCACAAAAATTTTATTTTTTTTCCATCCCTAGATGTTTGATATGTGCTTGCTACAAATGGAAAGAGGATGAGCAAATGGCTCTTAATGAACCCATATCCATATTTTTGGTGGTGTGATGTAGCTCACACTTGATGGGATTCACCTACTTAGGTGTGGAAGTGTGGCCGCTTCCTATGAATATTGTGAGGGCTAATAATCTAGAGCAATTATGAGCATCCAGGCTGGACATATGGCCAGTATAACGCGTCACCTTTATTCGCTGAATTTCAGAATATTATACATGTTCAATTGTGTGGCTCAAAGTGATGGGTCCCTAACTCCCTATTAAGTTCAAGACGAAGGTCACTTGGTAGGTGAGGGATCATAGCTTGATGTCCAGTATGTGTTAATTCAAGTCGCGAGATATTGACACTTATGCAATTGTTTTGTTTTGCCTAAAACCAATTTTCTCTCTTTCTTTCTTTTCACATCTTCGAACCTATGGGGGATTGTTGGAAATTCTTGAGTGAAACACAAAGAAAGGAGAGGGAAAACAAATGTGATAAAGTCTCACATTGATAATCTTTCAGTTATGTTTTTCTCTTCTTTGGCTTGATCTTGTTTTGGAAAGTTATGATCAATTACAATAGTTATTGATTGTTGGGTTGATTCCCTAATTGTTAGCTGTTTAATGGGGGTTTAATGGCAAAATGTTAATGCCTTTTATGGCTGCCATTTCTCCTTAAATCAAGCTGGTTGTTGCCTTCTTCAATGTTGCACATTACCTTTTTTTGGCCTCTATATATATATATATGTGCTTTTACAAGCTTAAACATATACTAAAATACAATTACTTCCTCTCTTCTCTTCATAAAATATTCCTTCGGTTTTGGGCAAGTATTCTGAGTTCCAGTCGGGTTTGTGAGTGCACACAAACTCCGGCGCCGTGCTTATCCTGGAGGGCGACCGCTTGATAACTACTGCACCGGGGTAGCGCGGAATCGTCTTTTAGGTCAGTGGTTATCCACGACGCGGCAATTGTCAATTTGGTCTACACAACATTGAGATAAGTATTTTTGTTTAATTTGCTTATATTCTAACAATTATCGAGTCTTGTATTGCTAGTTTTCCCTCTAAAACCTCTTTCTCTCTCTCTCTAGTCCATGCCATCACATTTACTAAAATATTTACGATAAATCTTTATATGGATGTGGCTAGCCTCAATAATTTTTTATTTTTTTCTTTTTGTTTTCCTTTTCCCACTCCTTATTGTACTATATTTCCATTTTCATGTTTTTCTCTCTCCTACTTTTAATGAGGATGATTTCTCTTTCCTACCTATTATGAAGATGAT